AATAGTTCACCCAAAAATGAAATTGTGTCATCATTTACTCACTCTCAAGTTGTTTTAAACCTGAATTATTTTCTTTCTTCTGTTGAACATAAAAAATATTTTGAAGAATGTGGGTAACCAAACAGTTGCTGGTCCACATCGAATTCCATAGTATTGTTTTCCTACTATCAAAGTCAGTGTGGACCAGCAACTGTTTGGTTACCCACATTCTTCAAAATATCTTCTTTTGTGTTCAGCACAAGAAAGAAATTAATACAGGTTTGGGACAACATATGAGTGAGTAAATAACATAAGTTTAACATAAATTTGGAGACATTTTAATCGTCCACCATCAAAAATAGTCATATCGCACACCCCTAAACCAAGTTTAATCAATCTTGCACACACAAACAAGCACAACAACATTACTTCACACTATTAAGCGGCTGTGTTATGAACATGCAAAACCGTATCGCACGTGTGCTACAGTGGTAAATTTATTCATCGCACAAACCATTTTTTTCATAGCACATGAACATATATGTCACACTGTACAGCCCTGATATATATATATATATATAATTTCAGTTTGTTTTGGTCATTTTAATAAAAGCATACACCTTTCAACTTATTTTCTTTCTTTAGAGGTCAGCATGTCATAAAAAGCAGTAAAAAGGACATTGTCTAATTTACTATAAATGGTATATTTGTTAAACCTGGCATTGTCTTTGAGTATTTAGACGCAATGAAATATTTCAGATTAGCATTAGGTATGGGTGCAGTGGAGACTCCATATTAGCTGGTACTCTTTGATTTCTTGGGTTTCTTTTGCACGTCTTGCTATGAAGACACAGCAAAATACAAAGTGTCCTTTAATAAAACAAGCTTTCATGGGGGTTTTTTAATATTTCTTCGATAGACTCGTAGTCATGGTCAGAGTCGGAGAGTCCCTGTGCTGTGAAAAGGAAAGAATAGATTAGTATACATGATATTTTAGCTCCCTGATGGGTAATTCCAAGTATCATCAAATGAAGGTTAAAACTCAGAGCAACAAATGTCTTCAAATGCAAAGAGAAACTAACCTGTTTTGTGTGCTACTGTGGGGCTTTTGACATACGTATTGTGCGCACTGACGCTCTCTGCTATTGATATGCCTTTCCTAGGCAACAGTGGAGGGGGCTGGTCTGAAGTCTAGTGGAGTTGCACAAGAATTTTTTTTATTTTAATTTATAAGCTGCTGAGCCAGCTAAACAAATGAGGAACATGTGACGATATGGTGTTTTCTGTTCAGTAATACACACACGCATAGTAACTATCCCACATGGTTTTGCAGCAGACTTTATAATGATGATTTATGCATGTACCAATAGTTAACCCAGGAATAGTTCACCCAAAAATGAAAATTCGATCATCATTACCTCACTCGTGTTGTTCTAAACATGTATTTTGTTCCACCAAACAAAAGAAAAAATGAAGACTTTTTGAAAAGAAAAAATAAACGATCCCTACGTTTACTTTGCACTAATATTCACATTGAAAAATTGTTGTCATGATTCATAACTGACCGCACTGCTGTAGATCTGAATAGTGAAAATTTAAATAATTCACTGTGAAATTTAATAATAATAACAACTTGGGATACTCCAAGCAACA